ACTACTACTACTACTACTACTACTAATACTACTACTATTACTACTACTACTACTACTACTACTACTACTACTACTACTACTACTACTACTACTACTACTACTACTACTACTACTACTACTACTACTACTACTACTACTACTACTACTACTACTACTACTACTACTACTACTACTACTACTACTACTACTACTACTACTACCCCGCGCGGGCCTCGAGCCGCAGCGCCCCGCTGGCGTCCGACTTCAGGCCGATGGCCTGCCTGGCAGGACGCGCAGGCGCGGCCCCCGCGGCCGAGAGGCGCACCGAGGGGGGAAGCGAGTCAGGGACAACGCTAGGGATTTGTATCTAAAACTTAACCTGGCGAAGGACCCAAAAATCTGCAGTTGTGAGCACCGCGATTCTGAACATCCTCTCCAATGGCGCTCCCTACGGGGCTACGAAGCCTGTGAGGGGTGCGCCGAAACGGGTGCGGCGGACGCATGTGGACGGTGGCACCGGAGCCTTCGGTGGGGTTCCATATGGGGCCACGAAACGTCTGAGGGTGGTGCCGAAATTAGTGTGGAGTACGCATGTGGACGGTGGCATTGGAGCCTTCGATGGAGCTCCCTATGAGGCCACGAAACGTGTGAGGGGTGCCGAAATTGGAACGGGGGACGCATGTGGAGGGTAGCTCTGGGGCCTTCGGTGGAGCTCCCTATGGGGCCACGAAAAGTGTGAGGGGTGTGCCGAAATGTGAGCTTCCTGTGGGGCCACGAAGCGTGTGAGGGGTGTACCGAAATGAGTCTGGGGGACGCATGTGGACGGTGGGTGGCACTGGGGCCTTCGGTGGAGCTCCCTATGGGGCCACGAAACGTTTGAGGGGGGTGCCGAAATGGATCTGGGGGACGCATGCGGACGGTGACACTGGTGCATTCGGTGAAGCTCCTCATGGGGCCACGAAACGTGTGAGGGGTGCCAAAATTGGAGCGGGGGACGCATGTGGACGGTAGCACTGGTGCCTTCGGTGGAGCTCCCTATGGGGCCACGAAAAGCGTGGGGGGTGTGCCGACATGGGTGTGGGGGACGCATGCGGACGGTGGCACTGACGCCTTCGGTGGAGCTCCCTCTGGGGCCACGAAACGTGTGAGAGGTGTGCCGAAATGAGTCTGGGAGAAGCATGTGGACGGTGGGTGACACTGGGGCCTTCGGTGGAGCTCCCTGTGGGGCCACGAAACGTGTGAGGAGGGTGCCGAAATGGGTCTGGGGGACGCATGTGGACGGTAGCACTGGCGCCTTCGGTGAAGCTCCTTATGAGGCCACGAAACGTGTGAGGGGTGTGCCGAAATTGGTGCGGGGGACGCATGTGGACGGTGGCACTGGGGCCTTCGGTGGAGCTCCCTGTGGGGCCACGAAACGTGCGAGGGGTGCCGAAATAGCTGTGGGGGACCCATGCGGGCGGTGGCACTGGGGCCTTCCGTGGAGCTCGCCCTGGACCCACGAAACGTGTGAGGGGTGTGCCGACATGGGTGTGGGGGACGCATGCGGACGTTAGCACTGGGGCCTTCGGTGGAGCTCCCTATGGGGCCACGAAACGCGTGAGGGATGTGCCAAAGTAAGAGCGTCGGGAGGAGGGAGGAGGAGGAGAAGGAGGAGGAGGAGGAGGAGGAGGAGGAGGAGGAGGAGGGAGGAGGAGGAGTAGGAGGAGGAGGAAGGGGAGGGGGAGGAGGAGGAAGGAGGAGTGAGCGAGGAACGCGGGGCGCTGTCTCTTCAAAAGGAGGACCCAACACCACTGGATGGTTGGGAACAACAATCGCGACGATGCTTGGTACATAAATTCTCTGGTGTGCTGTGGTCTGGTCACAGTGAAAACCACCAACCATGTTTGCAGATCCTCTGATCCGCAAACGTCAATCGGAAAACGTCAATGGGGAGTCGGCGATGCATCGCCGATGTATCGTCGGTAGGCCCCCGATCACGACTCCGCACGCTCCTGTGCGGGGTGGGCCGTCGGGCCCCTCTCGGCGAGCAGTGGGCGACCGGGGACCGATGCACCTCCCCCGGAGCCTCTCCCCCCCTCGCGCAGGCCCTCGCAGAAGGCGGCGGGCCTTCTCAGATGCCCGCAGGCCCTCTGAAAGCCCCCCCGCGGCCTCGGAGAGGGCTCCCATCGTCATCGTCATCGTCGTCATCATCAGCATCATCGTCGTCATCATCATCGTCATCGGCATCAGCATCATCACCACCACCACCATCATCATCACCACCACCACCATCAGCATCATCAGCATCATCAGCATCAGCATCAGCATTAGCAGAATCATCAGCATCATCATCATCATCATCATCATCATCATCATCATCATCATCATCATCATCAGCATCATCCTTCTCCTCCTCCTCCTCCTCCTCCTCCTCCTCCTCCTCCTCCTTCCTGCTCCCCTGCTCCCTTACTCCTCATCGTCATGATATCATCATCAATCGCGTCTTATCCGAATCACGGTCATCACCATCTATCCTCCTCTGTCGTGCGAGTTCTCCTCCTCCTCCTCCTGTTCCTCCTCCTCCTCCTCCTCTTCCTCGTCTTCGTCCTCATCATCCTCCTGACCATCACTATCACCAGCTCTATCACCATCAATGTCACCGTAACCGCCAGAACCGTTCCCATCATCATTGTCACCATCGTCGTCATCAGCATCATCATGAGCAGCACCAGCATCAACATCGTCATAGTCGTCATCATCGCCATCGCCTTCGTCATCGTCATCGTCGTCAACAATATCGTCGTCAACATTACCATCGTTGGCGTCATCATCGTCATCATCGTCATCATAATCATCATGCTCAATATATCCCCATCGTCATCCGTCCCTCCCGGCTACCCTCATCTGCCACGTTATCATCGTCCTGCGTCTCCTACTGCGTCTCCTGCTCCTGATCCTTGCTCTTCCTCCCCCCCCAACCACCACTCCTGTTCTTTGGAAGAAGGAAGAACGCCATAAACATAAATGTTTGGCGCTCCGCACGGATTTCTTTGGGATGCACAGAGACATACTAATACTATGTGTCCGCCTTGGAGGCGCGCGTCCGACCCGAACATATAGTATACCCATCTTGTAGTACATCGTTTCCCGAGCGGTGTGGCCAGAAAGCGCCCGCCACGACGCATATACTATAAGATTTCTCGGTGCGCGCGTCGCCCCTGGGGGGGCGACGCACATATAGTATAAGTATGTTGGGGTGTTGCCGATTCTTGGACCTGCGCTGGACCCCCCTCCCTGGCGCGCGGAGTGCGCCGAGGGGCGGCGCCGGCGGCGCCGCCGGGGGGCCCCAGTGCGGATCCAAGAACTCCGCGCGGAGCGCCGAGAGTTTCTGCTGACGCCGTGCTGTTCTCCGGCGAGTTCTTGCTCCTGCTCCCGAGTCTGCTTCTGCACATGTGCGGCAAGTACGTGTCGTGCCGACCCCGGCGTTGGTCCCTGATGGGATACACAAAGACATACTGGTACTACATGTTCTTCTTGGAGGCGTGCGTCCGACCCAAACATATAGTATACCCATCTTGTAGTATATCGTTTCCCGAGCGGTGTGGCCAGAAAGCGCCCGCCACGACGCATATACTATAAGATTTCTCGGTGCGCGCGTCGCCCCTGGGGGGCGACGCACATGTAGTATAAGTATGTTTGGGTGTTGCCGACCTGACACCGCGGGAAGCGTTCAGCCTTGAACGATCGGCAGTTTACCAAACGTCCGATCGTTCAACATCTACCGATGTTAGGTCGCCAGCGGCGTTCAACCTGGAACGCCCGCGCTGGGGTCGCCGCTGGTCGACACGGCGCGAACCTACCGTACGCATCTGGAGCAGCGGCGGCACAACCCATGCATACGGAGGAGTTGCCTGTTCTTCGGGTAGCGGCCGAAGCCCTCCCCACGACCCGCTGTGCCCTATATGGGAACACTGGGGCGCCCTGCCTCATCGTTCGTATCGCATAACATGCAAAACACACACAATGTATATATATATATATATATATATATATATATACATATGTATTTGTATATATATACATATATATATATACATAGATACATATAGATATATATATATATATATCGGAGGTGGGGGGTGAGTCCGACGTGGAACGGCGACCCCCCCTACCGGGAAATCGACTTCGGTTTCGGGTTCGTGTCGTGCGCGCCGTGCGTGCGTGAGGGCGAGGCGAAGCTGCGTGGGCTGGCGAGAGGAATCCTCATGTGGCTGGGCCGCGGCTGGACCAAAAAAACTCCTCTGGCGGCTGGTGCCCCGCGGTGTCCCGCCAATGTCCCGGTGGTGTCCCGAAATCCTCCTGTGGCTGGGCCGCGGCCGGACCAAATGTAACTCCTCCGACAACCGGTGCCCCGCGGTGTCCCGCCGGTGTCCCGCGGGTGTCCCGAAATCCTCCTGTGGCTGGGCCGCGGCCAGACCAAGTGTTTCTCCTCCGGCGGCCGGTGCCGCGCGGTGTCCCGCCGGTGTCCCGATGGTATCCCGAAATCCTCCTGTGGCTGGGCCGCGGCCGGACCAAATAATGCCCCTCCCGTCAAACGGTGACCCGCGGTGTCCCGCTGGTGTCCCGCCGGTGTCCCGCCGTGGGTTGCGCATTTCAAAACATCGCCGCTTGCGGCGAGCTATCCAATGCAATTCTGCATGCAAACCGACATGCAGACCGAAAAGCACATCGAAATGCAAATCGATTTGCACATCCAAATGCAAATCGTAAGGCGCCGTGGGCGCCGCGGCGAGCTTCCCAATGCACGTCGACATGCGAATCGAAAAACAAATCGCCACATCACATCCCACTCACGTGCACAATCACACTACTCACTAGACTCCGCCCCGCAGGCAGCGTCAGAACAACAAACACCACGTTTGTCCATTGCACCCGCAGGGTGGTCGTATAGGCATCTATATATATATATATATATATATATATATATAGAGAGAGATGTACTAAAGAAGTACAACCACAAGTGGCGAAGGAAGACGTGCAAACTGTTAAAAATGATCCTGGCGAAGGACCCCACCATATGCAGCTGTGGGCACCGCAATTGGAAATATCTTCTTCGGTGAAGCTCTGTCTGGGGCCACGATGCGCTACACTGGGTGCGCGTGGGACGCATGCGGGCGGTAGCACTGGGGCCGTCGGTGGAACTCCCTATGGGGCCACGAAACGATGTACTGGGCGAGGGGATAACCAGATTGTGTGCGTGGGACGCATGCGGGCAGTCCCGCTGGGGGCTTCGGTGGAGCTCCCTATGAGGCCACGATGCACAGTACTGGGTGAGTGAAAATGCCAAATTGTGCGTGGGCGTGTGAGTGTGCGTGTGCGTGTGCGTGTGCGTGTGCGCGTGCGCGTGCAAGTGCGCGTGCGTGTGCGTGTGCGTGTGCGTGTGCGTGTGCGTGTGCGTGTGCGTGTGCCTGTGCGTGTGCGTGCGCGTGCGCGT